TTGCTACACCAAAGAAATGAAGGATTTCTGTGCATCTTATATTAGAAATACTGTGCACTAAAGTTAATGAAGGTGATATTGACTCTATAGCTGGGAAATACAGACTGCTAGAGCACACACAGGTGTGGAGCATACTTGGGTGGAGTTTGGGATTTTTCTCTATATGCTAGCCCATGTCTTTATACATGCAATCATGTCAGTCATTGAATTCTCCATGACTTTACCATGATCTAAAATATTAACAAAGTCTTGAATTAAACTGTCATCCTTTTGCAGACAAACCATATACACCATCAGGCCAGATAGTCTGACACTGTGAGCTCTGCCGTAGAAATCTTACTAACCCAGTAATAAGTATTGGTTCATCCCAATGAGTGGGCATTTAACCTATCCTGATTTCTTGGCATTCCCAGCTCATCTGTGCCATTCAACTCATTCAGCAAAAAATGGTCCATGTCCAGCACTGCTACTGGAAGTGTCTGGGTGGCCGACAACATCATGTCCAACTCTTACTAAAGTTGAACATGGCCTTGCTGAAGGAGTGAAAGTGACAATGGTGACAGAGAGAGCACATGTCCAACCTCCAGGGAACACTTCTCTGAGTGCTTTTCTGCCTTAGGTCATGAACAAAAGCCATACTTGGATGTCTAGGAAGCAAGGGAAGAGGGGTAAAGCCAGAATTTACCTGGACCTTGCTCTCACCTCCCACTGTGCGCTCACCACATTTAGACCCAGACTGGGAGTCTCTGCATGTCTCTTCTCTCTCAGATTCTCTGCACCATGACCTCCAGCTACCATGTCTCCTTAGACACCAACTCTGTCCTTTCTGCTCAAAGAAACTGCTGGCTCCCCCATGTCCCTTCTGTGTCTTGAAATTCCCCATCTGGACAGTGAGCTCAACTGGCTTTTCTCTCAGGAATCTAAACTGTTAAAAACTGATATTGAGAAACTGATGTGACTCCATTTTTGAGAAACCAGCTTCTACCTCAAGGCCTGTCCTAAGGAAGGGGGCGTGACTCTTGTCCTTGGAAAAACCTACAGAGCACTCCTAGGCACATACCCACCCTGCTGAGTTGTTTGTCTATAAATAACAGGAGAGATCTGTGGTGTCAGGTGTCCCTGACTCAGTCAGGCTAGGTGAGAACCCATAGCAACCCCCTAGCAACCACCAATCAGCATGAGACAGGGAAAATACCTGGGATGCCAGATGACCCCTCAGTAGTTTACGTGGTTGATAACATTGGGAAACCATGTAGTTTAGCACATACCCCCATTGTGGCCTAAACCAATCAATTCAAAGGAATCCCCCTCTTGCACTAATCCATCACCCTTACCCAACTTGATCCTGCCAGTGAATGTGCTAATCAATGTTAGGAGTTGTTGTTTGATTTTCCCGTGGTATGGAATGATTTGCTGTGTGATGTTGTGATGCATACAGTATCTCCCCAAAACCTATAAAATCTCACTGATCAAAGGACCAGGACTCACTTCCTGGGAACGCTGCATCGGAAACGGTTGTGAGTCCAGGTTCGAGCTTGCAATAAAGACTCTTGTGTGATTGCATTGGATTCAGCTCCTGGAGGTCTATTGGGGTCCCATGAATCTGGCATTATAATATTACATATATTTTCCCTCTTTTTAAACATGATTCATATGGGACAGAAAATCTCAACCCTGAGAATCCATGTTTGGCAGCTGTGGCAAATATCCTCCTTAGCACTCATTTTCTTTCCCAAGGCTTTCACTGGTTCTATTAGTCACAGAACAGATATTTCTCTTCCAGGTCCAGAGACCTTGACTCCTCAAGGAGGAGGGAAGGAGAGGAGCAGACCAGGCAAGGTGTGGAGAACCTGCTGGGGAAGAGGTGGCAGAGCTTCCTTGGGAGGTTCCTATCCATGTGAACTCCGAGGTTCAACAAAGGACTTCCAGCAACAAGGACAACTGCAGCATTCTTCAGATGGTCCCCATCAGTGGCAGACTTGAGGACTAGCACAGCCTTCCCATGGTAAGCCCTCACCTTCCCATAAAAATGTTTCCTCTTTATTTTCTTCTATAGTGGTTTCAATTTCTCCCTCCCTCCCTCTTTCCTTCTTTCCTCTTCTTTCTTTCCTTCTTTATTTATTTTTTTCCTTTATTTTCTTTCTTTCCTTCTTTATTTCTTTTTTCCCTTTATTTTTTTTTACCTTCTTTTCTTTTTTTGGTACCAGGGATAGAACCCAGGGGCACTCAACCACTAAGCCACATCCCCAACCCTTTTTTATTTTTTTTTTAGAGACAGGGTCTTGCTGAGTTGCTTAGGGCCTTGCTAAGTTGCTGAAGCTAGGTCTGAACTCATAAGACTCCTGTCTCAGCCTCTGAGGTTACATTCACGTTCTACTCTACCCACCCTGATTTCAGCTTCTTTAGGATCCCTGCTACCTAATCCAAAGACAGATTTGGAAAACTGTCATGTCCTTTCAGTTAGAATCTATGAGGCAAGGGCCAGAAACTGTACTGTAGTGTTCCTACCTCTGATCTTATGCAAAAAGGCTGATGTTTGCAAAGCATATCTATTCACTCTGTTATCTTCCCAGTATAACTATCATCATTGCTGCATACGACTGCATCAACAGGAAGAGAAGTGGAGAGGTGAAGGTACCTATCAGGCAAAAACTAGTCGTGTTACTGTCCCAAAATAATTGGGACTTCTTATGGTCTGGAAGAGAATTTTAGTGGGAACAGAATCTTCTCACGTATACTCGTGCATCATTAACCAGTAAGATGAGGACTGAAAAATGTGCTGATGGGCAATTTGTCACTGTGCCAAGTCACTGAGTATATTTACAGAAGCTAAGATGGTTCCTAAGTCACTAGGCTATACCATTGTGTGAGACCTCTATCATATATATTGACCGAAAAATTATCATGTTGCATGTGAATGTACTTGAAAGCTGTCCACTGTAAGAGAGTATAAACTTTCTATTTGTTGTGGGAGGACCCAAGCACCTCTGATGTTTAAAGGCATCATGACTGGAAACTGAATAAGCAAAGAAATTGGTCTTCCACAGCAATGGAACCTGCTTCCTGACTGCCAGGACTTTTCCCATCAGGGAGATACCTAGAGGGCAGCCCAGGCCTGGGAAAGAGCTACCAAGGAACTCACGGTTTCTTGGAAGGTTGATGGATCCTCATTCAACTCTGAACATCCATGGCTGCCAAATAAGGTGGACTCTGACTCTCAGTAGATAACAAGAATCAACCTTCATTTACTCTTGTTTGGCATGGGATCATCAGAATCATGTAAGATATTAAAATGCAAAACAAAACCTCATGCACAACATGAATAATAAGTGTGCTTCCATCAATAGGGTCCAATAATGGCAAATAAAAGACTTCAGGCTTAAGTGTAGAAACCAACCCAATACCCACAGAGGGATGAACAAATGGACAACAGATGGAGTCTGCTCATCTGTTATTCAGCCTTAAGAAAGAGGGAAATTCTGATCCATCCTCCAGTAATGTAGGATCTTGAGGACAGTGCACAAAGTGAAATAAGGCAAACACACTGGGACACATACTGTATGAATTCCCAGTCCTCAACACAGATAAGGTACTGAGGGTTGTTCAATTTCACAGAGATAGAAATGAGAATGGTGGTCAGCAGGAGGTGAAGAGGAGAAGTGGGAGTTAGTGTTTCATGGGTGAAGACTGTCTGCTTATGGTGATGGAAAAGGTCTGCAGATGGATGATGGAGGTGGATGCACAAGAGAAATTTATAGTCATGCCCCACATGATGACATTATGGCCAGTGATGGGAAAATACACCACATACATGAATTTGTTCCACAATATGACACAGCATAAGTAAGACTGTAGCCATCTCAGTTGGTGTAAGAGCACTGTAGAATGTTTGTGCAATGATGAATCATCCTGAAACAGATTTTCAGGAATATATCTCCATTATTAAGTGAGACATGCATGTAATCAACACCACTCACCTCTACACATCACAATGGTTAACATGGTAAGTTTTCTACATATTTAACCACATTTTGTGGCTACAAAGAAAAACATGGATTGAATGCCCAGCTGGAAAGGAGCTGAGTTAGGACGTTTGGAAGCAGCTCCCCAGTTCCACTGGGTGCTGGGAAACATCCCTTGCACTTCCCACCTTCTTGGCAAATACTATATTCTGTCTTGTATGGGAAAACTTCCATTTGTTTCTTTTTTCACATGTGAGATTTTCCATAGGGCACATGGGTGACAGTGAAATATTCAGATCAAGAGCAATATCTTTGCTCCCAAATATACTATGTAAACTGGAGAGAGATTGATTGGAAATGAGAGGCTAACTTGAGATGATCCATAGACTTCCAGAAAGTGGAGACAATCTGTGAAGAGTATGAGCATGTGTAGAATTTCCTATGATTTTATGTTTTCAAAAGGAATCCTGTGTTAAAGGTGCCTAAGTGCACAGTGTATGTCGCCTCGACAGATTTCTGAAAACAGTGAAGGCCAGTGGCACTTAGAGGAATAGATTTGCTAAATTGAGTGTTTCCATTTAGGTTTTTCAAGTGATAATTCAGTGTATGTGGGTTCTTTTGTACATACTGAGCTCCTTCTTGGGAAGTCTTGTCATTTCTGCCCTTCTCCATCTTCCTTGCCATCCTCCTTCCTCTCCCCCACACTAAGCTCTGAAATGGAAATGCTAAAAGGCAGGTAATCTAACATGTTTTGTGTTGAGAATGGAGAGAAGAACCCACATTCTAGAGAGAAGTGAAAGAGGGAGGAGTCAGAGACCCGTAGGTTAGTTTGGCAAGGTGGACAGAATTTGGATCAGTAGCAGCAGAGACCATCTCCTCTAGAACTCTAGGACAGGTGCACATACCAGTCTGACAGTTGCAGGTGTTTTCCTTCAAACTGGTTGCCAGGTTGGAATGAGCGATGACATCAGAGGCTTCCAACCTTCCTGATTGGAAGGGACAGACTCTGTGGACCACTGGCAGTGCAGTAGGCAACAGTTTGTCCTCAGAACTGTTCCTCACCTGGTTTCTCCCATTTGGAGAAGAGTGAACAGATTCCTATACAACCAAATTCTGGAAGAAGGCTTTGCCTTAGTAAGAATCTAGGTTTTGTAGAAGGAAGACAGAGTATTGGAGAACTTATGGCGGATCAAGAAATCTCCCAGTCTGGGCAATCACCTTCCCAGCCAAGCACCTCAGGAACCCACCTAGAAGTGGTGGTAGATGATGAGGTGCCAGGTCCATCAGGTGAGGGATCTAGAGTGAGAACTGATTTGACATGATGACTGGTGAGGAGGAAGGAAGGGGTAGAGAAGCCAGGAAAGGTAGACTAGGGAGCCCACTTTTGAAGTTTAAAGTTCCTTGCCATGGGACAAGGTAGTCCACATGGATGGAAATCTGTAGAGAAAGGAGTTGGGTTAGAAGATGAGATATAAGCATAGGAAGTAGGTAGAGGAAATATAAAAAGGGTCACTCCCCCCATGGAAGAAAGTATCCATAATGAGGAAGAGTTTTGAGGAAGAAGGAGAAGGGACACTGGTAAGGAGAATCAGGGGCACATGTTTATCAGCAAAGGGGAGAGGTTGAACAATAGCTCAGAAGAAGGTAACAGTTGAAGGTCTGGGGTGTGGGAGGTGAACTGGGATCAGAGGATGAAAGGATGAGTTCCAAATTCAGGAGCTTGACTCTGCTTCCTTTACTCAGCTCTGTGGGTAAAACCCTGCCTCCCATGTCGGAAGAGCGAGTGGACCTCAGAATCTGAGGGAGACTCGGAGGATGACCCCCCGGGGATTTTTGATTCTGCACTCTGGGTAGAATCTGGACTCCTGCCTGAGACCACTGGCATAAAGAGAAAGAGAGAGTCCTCCACTGAATCTGAGGATGAGCTGGAGGATCTGGAAAGTGGGCTAAATCACCCCTGGGATGTGGAGTCACTGTGTGGCCTCAAAATGAAACTCAAAAAACGGCGCATGGACTTGGTGCAACCAGAACACCATGAGGTTTTCAACCGGCTTCTAGGTAGGGAGACACCCAGGTAGCGCCCTCCAATCCTTTCTTTACACAAAGAAGGAACTTACAGCCTCTGCACTTTTCCATAGAGCCCTGCTATCCCTGAGATCCCCATTCCTGGAGGACTCAGGACTCATCTCCCTGAGAGACTTTTAGATGATGGATGCTTACATTAGACTTGACAAGGTCTCTGCTTGGAATCACAGAACTTGGTTCCAATTGTCCTGATTGAAGACATCCTGACTAATAGATTTCCTCCTCCATGAGAGAATGACCTAGTAATTCTCTGATTCTAAGGTGGTGGTATATTCTTGGGTGATGATGAGCCTTCACAGTTTACTCAAAGCTTTTATTCATATAGATATCCAGATGTTACCCAAACCCTCACTCAGTTGTTTCTCTGGGGGGGGGGGTCTCATGTCAAAGCAACTTGCCCAAGGAATGTTCCTGTCCTCTATCTATCCACCTTTATGGGGCTCCAATCCCACACCTTCTCCAAGGGAGGTGTCCTGTTCTCTCTGCTCTCTATCACCCATTGAAGCCCCTACTGGTTCTAAACTAACACCAGTGTTCTGTTCACAGAGGATCCTGTTGTCAAAAGATTCCTGGCCTGGGACAAGAACCTGAGGGTGTCTGACAAGGTGAGGTTGTTCTCCACTGGGCAGTGTTACTGATCCAGCACAGCCTGGAGTGGGAAGGGCTTTCTGACCCTATGGTCCTCTATTGGGCTCCAATCCAACACCTTCTCCAAGGGAGGTTCTGTTCTCTCTGCTCTCTCTCACCCATTGAAGCCTCGTGAACATGGTCCCATTACTCACCCCTCAGGGAGGAGGAAATCTAATAGAGTCATAATGTCTGCAATCAGGATGATTGGAACTAAGCTCTGTGATCCCAAGCAGAGACCTTGTCAGGTCTAATGTAAGCATCCATCATCTAATAGTCTCTCAGGTAGATGCATTCTGAGTCTTCCAGACATGGGGGAGAGATCAGCCATAGCAGGGCACTTTGGAAAAGTGCATTGGCTATAGAAAAATTATAGCATTGAAGTATAGTTTTTCCCCCCTACAATTCCCTAGTCAAAACAAACACACAAGCTCCACATGGTCCTTCTCTCTGCCTCTGCATAGAGCTAACAAGATGTACCAAGTCCTGGCACCTTTGTAACTTATCAACATCTCCCTTTAGAGCCTAGCAGCTTTTTGCAGAGAGGACAGGTGGATCTTGCTTCTGCTTGGGTTGCTTGGGCTCCAAGTCCGAGACCACAGTCTTGCATGCCTATCACCTCTCTGCTTGATACCACCTGAGGTTCTGGGCTCCTCTCCTCTTTGCTCTCCCTAGGATCTCCTATTCTTTAGCTTACCCAAGACCCTCCTCACCCAGCTGACCTACATGCCTTCTCTCAAAAGGTCCCCTCAGAGCTGGCCCTCCAGTGCACATCTAGGCCTCCTCTCTCCCTGACTGCTCTGACTGACCTTGGTCCTTCTTGTCCTTCCCCAAGGAAGCAGGTCTCTTTACTTGGTTACTTTCTCTTAGTGGCACTCTCTACCCCAGACCTCCATTCCTCTGTCCCCTCTTTCCTCCTGTTTCAGGATGTGACCTCTCTGTCTTTCCTCTCTCTCCATCAGTACCTCCTGTCTATGGTCATAGCTTATTTTAGCCGGGCTGGCCTCTTCTCCTGGCAGTACCAACGAATCCACTTCTTTCTGGCCCTGTAAGTATTTGGTCTCCATCAATCAGAACTCACTACCTGGGAGGGTAGAAAGTGAGCAGAGGGGCACTAACCTGTCCTTTACTTTTGTCCTGTTTGTCCTGTTTACTCTGTGTAGAAGAAATTGTAGCATTGTAGTATAGTTTTTCCCCCACAATTCCTGACTCAAAACAAACACACAAGCTCCCTAAAAGCCAGTTTTAAAAAAATAAAGGAAACTTGAGAAGAGTGGAGGAAAGCATGGGTACATCCTGTCCCTGGCAGAGGTACTGGAGTTGCAGACACATCTTCCTTCCTGTATCTATACCAACACTGTTCTGTCTTCTGCCTCTGGATTTCTAAAACAGATGCCCAATTCCCAACCTGGCACAGGTGCAGTGTAAGGTGCTCCCCTCTGGTCCTTCATACATGTGTCTTCTCACATTTGTGGCATTCTATGTACCCCCTGAAATTCCTTCCAGGATGGATCCAACCACCTCATAGGCCTCCTCCACAAGTGTTGCTCACTGCTTTCCAGACAAAGGCTGGAGTCCTTCAGAAGGTGTATGTCTGGCAGAGACCTCTGGACCAAGGCGTGGTCCTCTGTAACACTTAATAGGGCTGGGGCAGTCTTGTCTGAAGATGGTCCTCTGGGAGTCCCTTTTTTAGAAGCTGACTCCAAGAGGAGGCTTTTCCTGGTTGTGTTGCTGAGGATGTACCCATGTCTTTCCCCAGCTATCTGGCCAATGACATGGAGGAGGACAACCAGGCTCCTAAACAAGACATCTTTCATTTCCTCTACGGGAAGAGCTATGCCCAGCGTCCCCTGTTCCACAAACTGCGCTATCAGTTCATCTGCTCCATGGGCTGGAACACTCGGGTTTCCAAGGAGGAGTGTGAGGAGGTGGGTGGTGCTGTGTGTGCTTGTGGGGGGAGAGGGATGGGCTGACTGGAGAGACACAGGAAGGTGGGTGGCTGCAGGTGGGCTCTGGGGAGGAGAAAACTCCGATGGCTGTGCAGGGAGGGAAGGATTTCCTGAGCAGTCTTCAGTTTTGTTTTTTTTTTTTG